GAAGCAATATACGTGCCAATCTTTTTCAACATACTAAATATCAAACTGAGCAAGAGCCCCAACTCCAAGCCCAGGTATTATATTTGTTAGACAGTTCATGCATGGTGCGGCGATTGTCGCAAAATTCTGGACGAATCGTCGATAATAAGAAGCTCGCCCCATAAACTAAGTTCTTATGCAGTCGATGGTATTGACCAGTGTGACAGGCAGCGCGGACCTTAGTCTTCCTGAGTCTTCCCAATTCCTTCAGTGGAGATAACGTACCACAGGCAATTCACAATTCACTCGCTGGCGTAGTAGTGTACACTTACCGTTACGAATTCAGGCCTGTGTCCTTCGTATGAATTCCTCTCTTAGACGACGAATATGTTCAGTCATGACGACACAACTATGCTGCCCAGGTAGACAAAGCAAGAAGTTCACTAGAGTACTGCAGGCACAACATACTCCACGATCCTTTAGAATGTTCATCCTGGCGAGTTGCACAATCCAAATGGCATGACTATGAACTGATAGACATCGAACATAATTGCAACAGCGTTTTTTTCCATGTCTCGTTCACTCAATTCAGTCTGTGAACATCCATATATCAGATCGATTACGGATAACAATTTTGCATTTCCCAACATATAAGGCGTCGTCGATTCGATGCATATCCTTGCGCATACCTTCTTTAGGCTTCCAAGAGTCCCCGCAATATCTTGCCATGTCATCTTTTTTCATCACGAGCAAAACCGGTGATGTCAAGGTGTATTAGTAAGATTATGCAGACCTTTACCATATCCTTCACAAGTTCTTAGGATTATTTCTGTTGATGGAAAGGGATAAGCTAATGTCACTGACGGATTGGTTCCACTGTCGATTTCATACAGCGTTATATTCGTTGTCTGGATTAATAATTCACGTGTTCATGCATCCGTTGGAAGATTCTACTGCCTTTTGATCCCTGGAATCTCTCCATTTTAGCACAATCAGTCATTCACTGAGACGTAAAGTTTAGGTGTTACACTTGTTATTATAAGAGCTAAGATTTGAATCGGAATCGTGTCTGTCATTCAATAAACCTACAATATACATAGCTCATTGTATTTGTCCACATGTTACTGTTACTTATTTATTCTGAAATTTACAAAAGCATTTGAATGCAGCTAAAATCGATAATTCACTTGTGTTTCTAACCACGCTGTAGGCTTGAAAAGCAATTACAACCACAAATTAATTACCCTTTAATTGAAAAACAATTGCCTTACAGAGTAGAGCTTAATCGTAACATAAATTAGACGCAACGGGGAATAAGAAGTAAATGCCAAACGTCAGAAAAGCAACATGTAACAACTGACCTAAGACATTTAAAAATTAGACGCTACGTGATCGCTTCTGCACTTTGCCCGTTCCATCTGAAATTGTCATTAGCCTGAATCCACCAAATCACACCATATAATAAAAAATAAATCGAAATACAAACTGAATTATTTTTAAATGATATTCAGTTAATTATCCAAAACTTCTTTCACACGCGCTTCGCTGTAAATAAGTACGGATTTAGATAGATTCACTGGAAGATAAACTAGAAGAAAATCGAAATCACTTATTCATTGCTGTTTTATTTTTTCTGAGGGGATCCAGCAAATGCAACCGCCGATAAGGCTAAAATCCCTGTATGACAACATTCAATCACCCAAGTAATTCGACTTATTTTTCTCGTTGAATATTTAGGCCTTTTCCTTAACTGCTGACAAATGTTGATCATAAGGGGCGACAGTGGGAGTTACTCAGGGACTATTTATA